GAAGTTTGAGAAAGAGGTTTTCTTTTTCCTTATGTCTTTCCTTTTTATGAGTATATTCTTTTCCGTGCAGCTAAGTGAGAACAAATCAATGCAAGCCATGTGTTGTGTTTATGCAGCAATCTCTTACATCTGCATGGGAGATGCTGAATCCTCAGCAAAGGTTCGCACAGTTCCTGCTATTATGGAGATACATTTTTTTAAACTCTGTTTGCTGAGAACTTTTGTTCTGCAATAGGCCCTTGATATGATTGGACCAGTTTTAGGAGTGATGGATTCTTTCACGGGAGTGCGAGAGAAAACGAGTGTCCTTCTTGCTCATGGGTTTCTGCTGATGAGGCAGCAAAATCTACAAGAAGCAAGGTAGACCTCTTAACCAAAAATGTTCATTTTGGTGATTCTTGTGTTTTGATTTGGATTTTTGAGTTTAGGCTATTTCATGGAAACCAAGCCATGTTCTATTTCTCTGCAATGGTATGCTTAAGTACCGTCAAAAGCTCAGTAGCCTTTTTTTGGTAAGATAACATAATTTTATTAATAATGTCTCCCATCTACAAGTGGTATGCCAAAAAGTAGAGAATACACAACATAATATGATTCTCTATGAACGAAAGCCGATCTTCTTTTTTCTTTTTTGTCGAAAAAGAAAAACAAATTATTCAACCAAGTATAACTATGTACAACTTCTAGCTCTTTTGGACTATCGAGCTAGTTCCTCATATCTATGAGAATTAATAAATCGAAAAATTATATTGTTGATGTACATTAACTATGATACAAGTACCCCTATTTATAACAATACACAATACTTACACTACTCATATTCCATGTAGGAAGGACTATGCTTATTTACATAACAACTAACTAACACTCCTCCTCAAGCCAGTGCATACAAATCATATGTATCGAGCTTGTTACATATATAACTAATACGAGGACTAGTGAAAGACTTGGTAAAAATATCTGGAAGCTGATCATTCGACTTCACAAACTTTGTAGCAATATCTCCTAAGAGTATCTTTTCTCTGACGAAGTGACAGTCAATCTCAATATGTTTAGTTCTCTCATGGAACACCGGATTTGATACAATATGAATGACAACTTGATTATCGCACACAGGTTCCATCTGGCTGATTTCACCAAATTTCAACTCCTTGAGCAGTTGTTTGATCCAAACTAGCTCACATGTTGCCATAGACATTGCTCGATATTCTGCTTCTGCACTAGACCGAGCAACTACATTCTGTTTCTTGCTCTTCTAAGATACTAAATTGCCTCCTACTAAAACACAATATCCAGACGTAGAACGTCTATCAGAAGGTAATCCTGCCTAATCAGCATTTGAATATCCAACAATCTGCTCATGGCCTCAATTCTCAAATAATAACCCTTTGTCTGGAGCCGATTTTATATACCGAAAAATGCGAACAACTGCATCCCAATGACCATCACAAGGTGAATCCATAAACTAACCTACAACACTTGCAGGAAAGGAAATGTTAGGTGTAGTCACTGTGAGATAATTTAATTTACCAACCAGCTGCATATTTCGTGCAGGATCGCTAAGCGGCCCCCATTCTTGGCAGAACTTTAGAATTCGGATCCATCGGAGTGTCAACAGGTCTACAGCCTACCATTCTTTTCTCCTCAAGAATGTCTAAGATATATTTCCGTTGTGAGATCACAATACCTGAGCTAGACTAAGCGACCTCAATACCTAGTGTTAGAAACCAAAGAAGTTCTATATTTCATATCTAGAAGAGAAGATTACAAGGCCTATTT